TTCTATTCCATCTTCTATTCTCATTCCATTCTATTCCATATTCCATTCCATATTCCATTCCATTCCATATTTTCTATTCTATTCTATTCTATTCTATTCTATTCTATTCTATTCTATTCTATTCTATTCTATTCTATTCTATTCCATCTTCTATTCTCATTCTATTCCATTCCATATTCCATTCCATATTCCATTCCATATTCCATTCCATTCCATATTTTCTATTCTATTCTATTCTACAATCTGTCTACTCTACTCTACTCTACTCTACTCTATTCCATCTTCTATTCTCATTCCATTCCATTCCATTCCATTCCACAATCTATTCTATTATATTCTATTCCATCTTCTATTCTCATTCCATTCCATTCCATTCTACATTCTATTCTATTCTATTCTACAATCTGTCTACTCTACTCTACTCTATTCCATCTTCTATTCTCATTCCATTCTATTCCATTCTATTCCATTCTATTCCATTCTATTCCATTCCATTCTACAATCTATTCTATTCTACCTTCTATTCTCATTCCATTCCATTCCCATTCCATTCCATTCTACAATCTATTCTATTCTATTCTATTCTATTCTATTCTATAATCTGTCTATTCCATTCCATTCCCATTCCATTCCATTCTACAATCTATTCTATTCTATTCTATTCTATTCTATTCTATTCTATTCTATTCTATTCTATTCTATTCTATTCTATTCTATTCTATTCTATAATCTGTCTATTCTATTCCATTCCATTCCGTTCCTATATTTCCTCATTACCCACACCTGAATTGTCGAAGGGGCGGGCTCTCACCACTAGCCCTGTCATTCTGCCTGCCTGGATTTTCCAACTCCGGAGCATCTCTGTAGCTCTTCTCACCTTATAAAAGGAGTCCATGGAGAGCAGCACCACCCATGGCACGTCCAACGCCTCAATGATCATCCTGGCCACTGTGGTTTTCCCGGAAGCGCTGCCCCCACCCAGACCTGGAGAGAGAGCGAAGCCCAAGGCAGAATGTTGACCACAGTCTTGCAAGTTAGGCTCAGATCAACCCCACTAAAAAGGGAGACTTCCAACCTGTAAACCTTGCCTTGAATTTCTTGGCTGGCCCGTGCTTTAATTCAGGGGTGGGAAACTATGGCGACTTTATGACCTGTGGACTTCAGCTCCCAGAATTCCTGAGCCGGCTATGCCGGCTCAGGAATTCTGGGAGTTGAAGTCCCACAGGTTGCCAGCTGGTCATCGTTGCCCGTCTCTGCTTTAGTCATAGGGATCGGGGCTTAACTGCCAAACTGCCCCCCTCAGATCCAATGCGGCACCCCTTACCGATAACAAAGGCCTCTTTTGACTGGGTGCCATGTTCGTTGTACCAGGGGGGTCGGCCCGCAGTGTAGATGGTCCTTTTACTGGTACGCAGAAGGGGGGGCTCCGATTTAGACTGGCTGGTGGTGCGCTTCCGGGGGGACTTGGTTCCGATAATTGTGGGCAGCAGCCGGTCCAAGGTGTCGACACTGTTGTTGCTACAAGGGAGGAGAGAGAGAGAGAGAGATCAGTTCCTGATCGCCACCAGGCAGAATAATCGAGTTGGGAGGGACCTTGGAGGTCTTCTAGTCCAACCCCCTACTCAAGCAGGAAATCCTATACTACCATTCCAGACAAATAGCTGTCCCATCTCTTCTAAAAGAAAACCACCTCCAATGTTGGAGCATTCACAACTTCTGGAGGCAGGTAGTTCCACTGGTGAATTGTCCTCACTGTCAGGAAATTTCTCCTCAGTTCTAGTTTCTAGTCTCCTGTTTAGTTTCCATCTGCTGCTTCTTGTCCTGCCCTCAGGTGTTTCAGGCAAAGAGGTCAAAGCCAATAAGGACTCCTTGGTCTCAAACCGGTCTCAAATCTCCCAGATGTCTACGTAGCTCATGTAAACACCCTCCTGTTTTGAGAACCGTCTGCTATCTTCTTCACAGCTGTTAGAATGTGCTTGAAAAGTTTCCATAGATCTTTTTCCTCAACAAACATCTCCAGAACTGCAGCCTCATCTCCCCCCTATTCTAATAATAATAATAATAATAATAATAATAATAATAATAATAATAATAATAATAATAATAATAAAGTTGGAAGGGACCTTGGAGGTCATCAAGTCCAACCCCCTGCTCAGGCAGGTAACCCTATACCATTTCAGACAAATGGCCGTCCAGTCTCTTCTTAAAAACTTCCAGTGTTGGAGCATTCACCACTTCTGGAGGCAAGTTGTTCCACTGGTTAATTGTTCTAACTGTCAGGAAGTTTCTCCTTAGCTCTAGGTTGTTTCTCTCCTTGATGAGTTTCCATCCGTTGCTTCTTGTCCTGCCTTCAGGCGCTTTGGACAATAGCTTGACTCCCTCTTCTTTGGGGCAGCCCCTGAGATACTGTCCCCCCTCGTCCTTCTCTTCATTAAACTAGACATACCCAAGTTCCTTATACGTTTTAGCCTCCAGTCCCCTAATCATCTTTGTTGCTCTTCTCTGTACTCTTTCTAGAGTCTCAACATGTTTTTACATCGTGGTGACCAAAACTGGATGACAAGATGAAAACAATAAGACACCTAGCTGCCAGGTTTTCACTCTTGACATGGTGACCGTTGTTAAGTCGAGGCTGGACCCATCTGACTGGACCCAATTTTACCACCATTTTTCTGAAAGTCACGAGATTGGTTAAGCGCATCACACAGTCATACATCCGAACCCATTCTTCCAAATGGGCAATTTTTCACCTTAAACTGCCCCCCAAAAAACCCCAAACACTGGCAAAAAA